TCTGAAATGGCTGCACCAATTTTGAAGGGACTCTTTTTGGCAGATAGTTGATATAATAAGGAGTGACTTAGGGTACTTTTATTTTAGAAAAATAAAGTTAATTTTTTTTTTTATAACACAGGGGACAAACGAGCATGCGGCTCACCTGATGGTAAGTGATTACCGCCGCCCATGAGCACCCGTAACACCAGGGGAATTGCAAGTACGTTGTCGGCCTTTTAAAAAGGAATAAGCTCTTTTCTTGAAGGTTTCAATATCGTATCGGTTCGGAAATACCATTGCTGGAAGGTGATTCCACAATGTGGTTGTGCGAGGCAAAAAGTTTCTAGAAAACCGTACTGTGGAAGACCGCCATTCATCCAGATGATCAGGATGGTATTTCAGTTTCTGGCGGGTGGTACGGTGGTGAAACTCAGCAGCTGGTATTAATCCGAACAATTCCTCAGAACACTCCCCGTGATATATGCGGTAGAAAATGCACAGAGATGCAATATCTCGCCGCAAAGCCAATGGGTCGAGTCTGTCACATAGACGTTCGACGAAGTTCGGATGAAGTTGGGGGAACAGCTAGTATTGTATATAACCTAAATGTAATATATTAAGTTCCTATTTTTATTTTATTAAATCAAACTATTTAAGAACAGCATGCTAAATATTATTCCATAGACCTATATTGTCTATTGCAACATCATAATATAGAATTATATACCACAGACTCGGTACAACACAATACAGACTTAGATCTACAACGTACAACATCATTCGTACAGCCAAAACGTGAATTTTCGTTTTTTCTCGAACTATTCTCATGCTGTTGACTGCAGTTGGTCTTTACAGATTAACCAGACGACAGGTAGCGATGCAGAGCGGCTCGGAAGGCCAACTCCTGGCTAACGGATACGACTATATTCTGAGGGCATCGCTAAGGATTTGAACCTCGGCTGAGGCCATCGTAAACTCGAAATTTAAAAAATCGGCTCCGTTAAAATCTATCGGAGGGTAACTATTGTTAAGGGCTACTAATGGTTGAAACAGATGTAAATTTATTACATCCACCATTCCTTACATTAAATATATATAAAGAATGGTGCAAACAATAACACGATCATTATAGTAATTTAATTAATAATATAGACAAGTGTATTTTCAACTGCTACTGTAATAGTGCGACTGCCTTCTGCGGATACAGCAGTAACTGCGTCCGCATTCTGAGGATACAGCAGTAACTGCGCCCGCATTCTGCGGATACAGCAGTAACTGCGCACGCATTCTACGGATACAACAGTAACTGCGCCCGAAGTCTGCAGACTACCGCGATCCCTGCCCCCGCATTGAAGAAAGACGTTTATTTTTTTTATGATTAATGCAGTAAGGTAGGTAGGTAGGTAGGTGTACCTTTGAATGTAATCACAAGAATATAAATAGCACATGTTGCTATTTAGGTGGATGTTTTGGTGAAATACAGATACACATATAAATATTTTGATACACTAAAGTACACGTCATTTGGTATGTATTATACACATATGTTTGTTTTGGCAAACAGATTTCAAGAAATATCGATGAATGATAGTTATTTTTTTTATTAAATAATATATAACTATCAGCATATCAGACTGTACCTGATAAGAAATAAGTTTGTTTCTAAAATTATAACCTATTTCATTACAAAGTATTTTAAGACTTTTAAGTAAAAGGTAAGTATGCTAAATGACAGCTCGTTTAGTAGTTCCTATCATTTGTATATCCGACCTTTTCTATCTTATATTCATTTCATAAGTCAAAACGAGACAAATATACTACATTTAGTTGCTATTTTGTTCGGGTGTCTATTTAGATATTCCCGCGCTTTGGCTGTACGATCTACCACAGATACATAACCACTTTCGTTATTTGAACAAAAAAAAACCACACGATAATAAGCGTTATCAGGTTATAATATAACGGTTAAGTTATGCGTTTTGAAAATGAAACTATACTCCCACTAAGTGGCGGTGTTGTTAAGGAAAGTGATTATTTAATGGAATGTTAGTTAAGCGATAAATATTAGCGAATTAAAGCTGTCAATGTCATTATTTTTTTAATCTCAACTAAACATAAAATATAAGCAGGCAAAAGCATAAAACTTATTCATAAAAAAGAAAGAAGTAGCACCTTTATATTTAATTAGAAAAACAGGTAATTCTGAAATATATTTCCTGTCGACGTAGGTGTAATTCGAACGAAGTCGCGAGTAGATGATAGTACTCAATGTTTGTACAAAAGGATGAAACATTAATAATACTGATTGAATTTTATCTACTTACAAAAAGTATTAATTATATAATATATTGTTAACTAAAAGCAGTTAAATTATTTGTCCAGACAGTTAAAACTAGAAACTAAAATAAGCATACACTAAATTTTAGCAGTTACGGAAAAGCAGAGCCAACATTCAGACATAAACGAGACAGACAAGACAAAACAGATACAGATTAAAAATATGTTATGTCACTGTAAATATTTTTTTTATTAAGAATATTGACGGCCTTGGAAAGTTCCTTTGAGCGAAAGGCCAAATGTATTCGGAAAAAATATTAAATTTTTTAAACAATCATTAATAATATTATAAGTTATGAATTACATATTTTCTATTTTTTTCATACAAATATTAATATAACATGTACATAGTCTAGAAACGGTATATTTATCGTAATTATATTATTTATGAGTTCCAGACATTTCGATACGATAAATATCACATTTACATGTGTACAATTGTACATAATCATTTAAAAACTTTAAAACAGTGGTTATGATAATATATTTTTAATCTGTCCAAACATGAATCAACATAGAATATATATATAAAAAAAAATGTATCGCTTACTTTATGCGTGGTGACGTCACCAAATATGATTTCGCCTATACGTGCGAAATGATGAGCTTGTTTCATTTTCAAAAACACTTGTGTAAACCGCAATAAAAAAACGTGTATTATTTTATTTTAATACAGGTGTCCTAATGGGTATAACCTTAAAGACTTGATGAAGTATTCATGAAATTACAAATAATCAGAATAGAATAGAATAGAATAGAAAATCATTTATTCAAATAAACTTACATTGAAGCATTTTTGAATAGACATAACATTTTTTTTTAATCTACCGCTCATTCGGAATGCTGTCTCATCACAAGAAGAACAAGCAAGAAACTTGTGTGTTGCTCTTTTAAATAATTTATTCTTACTTACAATTTAAGTTTAAGTGTGTGAATACAAACCACCGATTAGCACTAATCAATGAAATAATAAAATAGAAAAAACATTCAATATACAGCAACTGGTAGTAGAAATAATATTTTATTTATATTATATTATTAAAAATGACTATTCAAAAGTGCTTATATTAAGTTTATTTTAATATATATTATTTATTTTTAAAAGTTTACGGCAGGGCTAGCTCGAGTTGTCTATTAATAAATACCGGACGTAACTCTACAGTTTGTCCGGAAACTAGCGATAGCGGGCTGGCAATCGATCGGCTCGTTTCGGGAGATTGCTATCCGCGATAAGGTATTTACCCCTCACGTCTGTTAATGACCACGGCTAGTGCAACCTAATGGAAACGAACTTTATTTCATGTTTTTTAATTTCATGAGGACTCTATTTGGCTTTAAGCTTTCTATGCACTTCATGACGTGACGTCTTTTGTTTATGGTTACATAGTGTAATATAAAGTCGCTGTCGCTGTCTGTCCGTCCCTATGTATGCTTGAATCTTTAAAACTACGCTACAGATTTTGAAGCGGTTTTTTTAGTAGCTAGTTACTACTATAAAATATATAATATATTTAATTTAAAAATATAGTTTTCTCTCTGGTCATGAAAATAAAAATATATAAAAATAACAAACTAAAATTCAACAATAAGACTGCAATTTCTAGCCTCATTTCAGTAATATCAGTCTTTCAAAAACTTCAAGTACAAATGTTTTTGTTGATGCCTGTATTGTTACTTGTGTAAATACAGAACTTATTTCAATTCTAAACTATTTAATTATACAATTAGACATAAGATTAAAAAAATAGTGTTAGGGTTACCACAATAGAAATAAGAATTATTTGACAACCCTTACTAAGTATAAGTAATTTTTTTATGTAGTTTTCTTTTTAATAAAACATTAATTCCGTTCTCCAGAATTCGCGACCGATTAGAAACTTAGAGTAAATTATATCACCATTAAATAGCAGAACGTTAGTTACAAATAGAATGAAAACCCTCAAACATATAGAGCTCCAAAAACCCTGTTTTCAATAATGTTATAGAAATCACTGCAATTTTTAAGCGACAATGGGAAATATGATGTAATTCCTATTAATATTATAAACGCGAAAGTTTGTGAGTATATATGGATGTTTGTTACTCTGTCACGCAAAAACTACTGAACGGATTTTGGTAAAACTTTACGGTAATATAGCTTATACACCAGAATAACACATAAGTTATAATTGAAAAAATATTATGTAAATTGGGCGAAATATAATGATCATTTATACCAAATAAGTACATTTATACAAACATACATTTTGAAAAGTATGCAATTAAATACATACATATTATTCATTTTAAAGATTTTGTCCGCATTTGCAAGTCCCTTTACTTAATACAAAACAATGGCCACGAATTTAAACGTGTACGGGTTCACGTATGATACTCTAGTAATATATATATATATGATTTAACAAACGTTGTTTAGCCATATAAATTAAAATCGCTATTAAAAAATAGGCATTGGTGATAGAAGGGTAAAAATTTAGGGTTATATGTATTTTTAATGCCATATTATAAAAAGAAAATAATAATAAAACTTGTTATTATACAAAAAAACTGAAAATAATTTAGAGAGTCAAGCCGATTTATATATATAAGAATTTTATAGATATATTATGTCCAAATTTGAATTAGCATTTATCATTGCAGTGATTTCCTCTAAAGTAATTTATCATCAGTTCATCACTGACCTGCGGGCCATCTTCATCTTCCTCCGGGTCTTTGTACTTCTTCACCATGTGTTCTTCAACAGGCTGGAACAGCAACGCTGCAGCCCATACGTTCAGCATTATACCGCCCAGAATTAATACAGCCCCTCTGGAATTATATAATGCAATCTGGTATTAAAACTTCCTATCAAATCAAATCAAATATTTTTTAACGGCTTCCAATAGGAGATAAATATTACGAAATTATTAAGGAAACAATAATTATTAGTAAAATTGTACAGAAGTTAGAGTACATGCTACAACAGTTCGGTGGTCTTCATTTAGTACAAAGCGATTACTTACAATGGTCGCGGGTTCGATTCCTCGCACGGTGCAAACATTTGTATTCATGAGTATGATTGTTTGTATCGGTCTGGGTATTTTCTATGTGTGTATACATAAGAAAATCATCTAAGTATTTATATCAGTTGTTTAGTACCCATAATACAAGTCTGCTTACCGTGGGACTAGATGGCGCTGTGTCAATTGTCCAAGGTTATTTATTTCTTATTTACTATTTTTTTTTCGAATTTCTCTAATGCTGTTGTCCGCAGCTAGGGCCGGACTATAGGGGGCGAGTGCAGATGGCACTCCAAACCAAAGGAAAGGCTTATGGAGCGCCTGAAGGACAACTCCCGCCTGACGGATACGACTTTAGTCTGAGGGCAGGGATTCAAACGAGGTTTGAACTCAGGCCGTCATAACTTCGAATTCCGTTTGAATTGAACGGGGGATCGATCGGAGGAGGTAAAAGATTTTTTAACTTTACTTTAATGTATGAATACGGTAGATACTCACTTATACCCGTACGTTTCCAGTAGATACCTCAGCACCGGCGGTAGTATAATACTACCGAAGGCCGACCCTGATATGCAGATGCCGTTAGCCAGCCCTCGGAGTCTGACGAAGTATGACGTCACTATATACACTGTGGGCGGGAAGGCTAGACCCGCGCCTGTCCCCACCATAGCTCCGAAACTGGAATATAGAAAAAAAATATTGAGAGCACTTACTTAATGGAGTGGTGAAATGGGATTGTTAGTAACGTGGACTGATCTTATTGCTAGCAGTACCGTGTCAAGTTGACCTTCACGCGGTCCTGGAAACCATCGTGATAAATTCTTGGTGAATTTGTCACGAGGTGCTAACTGACCTGACCTCATGTTCATCTTATCATCCTCCACTGGTGCCCCGCCAGCGTAATCCGTTAGCGCAGGCAGGTGAACCATTCTTTCAACGTTTTGTATTTTTATTTTGTTTGATATATGATTTAGTTTTATTAACATTTACTGAATAAATATCATTTCATTCCATTATCATCCATAAAAAAAATTTTGTTTATTTCCGCTACCATTAGCATGTGTGAGACCATTATTATTTTGTCCAATATTCTTAGTCTTAGCTGGTTTGTTACGCTTTATAGCGTATACCACACTTACCGGCCGAAGTAAGTACAGGCTGGGCGTGAGTGCGTGCGTGTGTGTATGTGTGTGTTCGTATGCGGGTGCGTGAGCATGTACGTGTGTATGGTTCACTGGTAGAAAATACCGCATGGCGCGAAAAGTTGTGTTACTTTTTGTACTGTATGAATTAAAGTTAAACTTTTATTTTTTTTATATATAAAATTAAAAAGAAATAATGGTAATAGCATCAAGTCCATATTCTGTACTTGTAATCTGATTGGTGTTAACAAATAAAAAAAGTTATGGTCATATAACATGCTCAGGTATAAATTATGAATGAAAGAAACTAACCTTAAGTACAGATAACTAATTGAGAATGCGTAACTACTGAAGATCATGCCGAACGCTGCGAAGCTACCGCCTATGAGCGTCACCGTTCTGTATGACCACTTCACTGATAGAATTGACGATAGCGGACCTGGAAACACACAGACAAACATATTTCATACTAACGAAACGCTCTGGCTTCTCACGGTTTGATAATAATAATAATCCTGAATAATTTACACAATGTCATCTAGTTCAAAGCTAAGCAGAGCTTGTGTTATAGATATCAGACAACTGATAGAAAAGTTAGATAATTTTTTTTGGTAAATACATATATAATATACACAGAAAACACCCAGATCGATACAAACAATCATACTCATGAATACAAATGTTTATGCCGTACAAAGAATCGAACCCGCGACCATCGGAAGTAATGCGGTGTACTAAACCACTAGACTACCGAGGCCGTCGCGTCGTAGTATCTAGTTTCAAGCTAGAGTTAGTGTTATGGACACTAGAAAATAAACAGAAAAGTTCCCAAATATGGCACTAGCTCTTAAGTTATACTATGTTACAAATATTGTGTATTGAGTAGAGTGAAAGGTACGTGAGGTACCCCCTGTAGTATATATGGGAAAGAGAAGGATGCATTATATCGTCTCTATCGCACACTGCTGGCATCATGCGGGCATTAAGCTGTGAACGGCGAGTTCGAACAGTGGTGTCTAAGAGACAAAATTGTCAGTATGTATGAGAGATATTCTTCCTCTAGTGATACTTACCTAAGCTGCTGTAGAGGAAATAACACAAGGCAACAATCCCTGATGATGCTGTCGGAGACGCGTCGAATACATCATTAAACTCGACCAGAAGTACGCCGAATGATTTAATAGTTCCAGGTATTAATATATTGACCAGGGTTGCTCCTAAAACAGAATATAACGAACATATAATAAAAATGTTATTAAACGCTGTCTGTACTCTATAAAGATACCTACAGGTGAATCAATTTGAAGACATTTTAGCATTTGCCCAATAAAGTAATGTAGTAATATGTATGGTCAGTAGATTTAAATAAATACTCCATTACTTTATACAGCGTGTCCCATATTTTTTAATTGGGTTGTTTGGGTTATTTTCAGGTGCCTGTAGCACCTGTAACACTGCGACCTAGATAGATCTATTCTGCTCGCTCTTTTTCAGAGTTCTCTACTTAGACCCGTTAGGGACAAGAATTGAAGGATATTCTTAGGAGCGATAGTTTTTATCTCCTCGGGAAAGTGTAATCTTTTCAAAGGAGATATTTCGTTTATGCATGAGTGGGCTACAACCACCAAGGATGTGTAGTATAGCATGTCCCATAAGTCGACGATAAACCGGAAGAGATAAAACAAAGACATTACAGCTAACAGAAAAATGAAAAAATCTTAACTCTGTAATTATCAAAAGTTATATTGTAAAGCATGTTTTAAATATCTCATTAATATTACAAGCGCGAAAGTTTGTGTGTATGGACGGATGTTTGTTACTCTCACGAAAAAACTACTGAACGGATTGTTATGAAAAAATGTTAAGAAACTTTATAGTAATATAGCTTATATATTAGAATAACATATAGGCTATAATTTAAAAAGATATTATGTAAATTGGGCGAAATATAATGATAAATGTCAAGTAAGTGTGATGCAGACGAAGTTGCGTGGGCCAGCTAGTATATAAATACACTAAAAATATAACTGTACGCTGTCTGAACCCGAGGAGTAATATCCGACATACGCGACAACGTCGCCCGAGGCACGTTCTCATTGACCCCGACGACCCAATAACGGCAGGTAACCTCCCCACTGGCCCACCCGTTCCACCCCGACCACATTTTTACACACACACACGACACCGTCCTCGCCGGCGAAGACGACGACCTCAAACATACAATATCGCGCATTCAACCGGGCGCCTGCGCGCGCCTGGGCGCTCCACACAGGCGCCCCTCCGATCGATATCGATCGATCGATATATCGATCTAAAGTCGTATCTGTCAGGTAGGAGTTGGCCTTCAGCCGCTCCATAAGTCCTTCCGCGGCTTTGGAGTGCCACCTGCACTCGCCCCTTAACGTCCGGTGAAGCTGTAAAGGCCAGCTGCGGCCAACAGCATTAGAGTAGTCCGAAAAAAAAAAGCTGTCTGAACTTCAAAGATACCTATTACAGACAAAAGTTTGCGGATATTATTATTAAATTTCTTTTTTGATTTGATTTGATACAGAGAAGATGCAACCGGTTTACCTACGAGCACACACCATCCCCATTTGCCGTCCGGTGGTACCATCTCCCAGTCCCTCTCCGGCGCTGGCCCGATGGTGAACCGACCGGCTCCCACTGCTGGACCTTCATCTTCTGGGAGTTTTACTGTGGACAAACAAAATAGGGTTTTAAGTTTCTTTTTTTATTAATTTATTTATTAATCCTTACCTTAACAATAACTATTATCCCTTGAAATCCCTTTAATAAAGTTTCTTCATATATATCTGGTTCATTATTAAATGTACAACGCGATACTATTACGACGGTTCTTCTATGTGTGGTAGCCAGAGACATTATGAAATTTCGATTTATTTTGTAATATTACTAACAATATACCATATCAGGTCCACTTTTGAAGTCTACAAGTCTACAGTGAATAGATTTATTCTAAGTAAGCGCGCTACATCCTAGTTCTTGCCATCATTTATCATCAGATGAGGTAAGACCAAGCGCATATCAATTTATAATAAATAAAAAAACTTTTAATGTTTTTTTTATATTATAATTAGTATCAATTTCTTAATTTTAATAATGAAAATATAACTCTTTGATGGCATTCCGTTGCCTTTAGTTAATATTAAAAAAGTTAAATAACTTTGGCGCCAAAATGCTGACATAAAAAAAAGAAATAATATTGTATGGAGATTCAGAGATGTAAGAGAACAGGAGAGAAATATATATTTGTTATATTTATTATTTAAATGTATTATAATATTGTCGAATTGCATGTACATAATTGTAAAGATACATAATAAAGAAATTGTAGTTTTATAGTAATTATACATTTCATTATATTTAATCGAATTAGGTGTTATTTTGCGGAAGTCCATTTCAGTACTTAATGGATTTATATTTTGTTTAATTCCGCTAAAATTATCATGTGTGAGACCACAAATATTCAGTGCGGAAACTTGACTACCGTTACGACCTTCTAATGGTGATCAAATTCCGAACGTTGTTCAGTCTACACCCATATTGCAACATGTGTTTCGCCTCTGAACGAGGCATCATCAGGCATTGAATAGAGTTCCAATATAGCTTGGAAGCCTGTTGATTGTTCGGCTTGGTTAGAGTTACGGTTTGGTAATTGTAACGGAATTAAACAAAGTGATATAAATCCATTAATTATACATTTTATTGCTTCAAAAGAAGATAACCTATTAAACAACCTCTAACGAAGTCACTACTGGAAATCATAGTGGATTATGTCTGATGAATACGTCACGTTGTCAATTCATATACCTTACTCTTTGTTAAAAAGGTTCTTTTGTCATTGCAATATAAATATGCTGACGGCCCACTTCAATAAAAAAAAGTACAATGAGCGAGCTTAAACTCCGCTCCTATTGGTCGTAGCGTAATGTTATATAGCTTAAAGCCTTCCTCGACAAATGGACTATCCAACACAAAAATACTTTTTTCATTCGAACCAGTAGTTCCTGCGTTCAAACAAACAAACCCATCAGCTTTATAATATTAGTATAGATATTAAAAATATACACAAAAATAAATATATAAATATAAATTTGCTATGAAAACAGTGTGAGTAAAAAAATATCATTGTTATTTATACTCGAATGCTGAATGTCTATTTCTTCCTTTTACCTCCACTGTTTAATTAAATTTGAACCAAAGAGCAATGGGTTTATAAATAGAGCTGCACTGGATGCTTGGCAATTCGCCAGTCTTGGAGCTGGAATGTGACCGAATGGAGATAATTCGACTACTTTGTACAAATTAAACAAAAAGTAATTGAGATGCTAAAGGTATCATTCAAATAATTTTCTTTCCAAAACATTTGGCAAGCAGTTCTCATTAAGAGTGATTGACAACTGACAAAGCTTGGGCAGCAAGAACTGACAAAGCAGCTCGGCATTTACTGAAGATCCTCCGTGACTTTGCAAATGAGTTTAAGATCCATTTTTTGGTAACCATTTAAGTTAGTCTAGAATGGAATGTAGTGAATTTCTTATGTCTAATTAAGGTAACTTCAGAAAATTCTATTGTATTAGTGTACTAGCTGTCCCGGAAAACAATCGTGGAAGAATTTCTTCAAAGAATTAAGTTTTTAATAGTACATTGATTATAAATGTTATCAACATTTGTAAACTTGATGAAAAACATAATTGGAGCAGTTGGATCTACATATATACCGAATTGGACGGTAGGGAAAAAATAAAATTATAATAAAAATATAATTATAATGTAAAAAATTTGACGTTCATAAGCGGCAAATATGTCGTACCTGAATAAATGATTTTTGAATTTGATTAATTCAGATAGATAATGACGAAGACGCATCCCTGAATGTACTAGGAGACAGCCCCGGATCTAGTAGGGGAGGGCGACACGGGCCCGCGTTCTCGAGGCGGCAAATTCAAATTTGGTAAATGAATACACAATTCATCTTAAACACACCTTCGACAGTCCTAATGGACTGTCGAAGGTGTAATTGGCAGAAGTGCAATTGACTATAGCTGGCCGTTATGGCTTGACCACTTATTATTTTTTGGTCCGCCTTGAAAAAAATAAAGACCGAAGTTGCTAGGAGAAAAGATCTGCCAAAAGAAATCTCAAATTCAAAGCAGTTACACATAATACGATTTTAATAATATATTTTAGTTATTGTATTATATTTTTTAAGCTTTTTAATTTTAGGTTGTAGTTGTATAATTAAGTTATGTAAATGATATAATTAGTTTAGTATTGTTGTCTTTAAAATTTAAGTATATATATATACGAGATATATAAGTCAGTAAATTATTCAACAATTAGGAAACAGTGCCGGGTCCAACATTCATTTAAAGTTGATTTATGTTATCATTATTATTATTATTATCCTTACTTATATTATAATGCCAAAGTAACTCTGTCTGTCTGTCTGTCACGCTTTCACGCTAAAACTACTGAACAGATTTAAATGTAATTTAATAATTTGGTACACAGATTGTCTAAACTCTGAGAAAGGATATAGGCTACTTTTTAATGCGAAACAAGGGTTGTGAGGGTCGAAAGTGGAGATGAAAGCATTGTGATTTTTAAAGCTAGAAGGTTGAAACTTATTTGAAGGGTATTCATTGAATATAAATAAAGAAAAAGGGTAGTAAGAGGTTGAAAGGGGAATTAGTGTTGTATGGAAGTATCGATATTTTTGATTTTTAGGTTAGAGTATGTAATATTTTTTCTTTATTTGGTCAAGATTATTACACGTGAACGAAGTCGCGGGCACAACTAGTATAATATAATATCTCAGGACAATGCATACAATGCTAGATGACGCTGTGTGAATTGTCCTAATCCCAAGCTAAGCAGAACTTGTGTTATGGATACTTAACATATTTTTTATAATAAATATATATAGAAAACATACAGACTGATACAAACAATCATACTAATGAATATAAATGTTTGTACTGTGCGTGAAATCGAATCTGTGACCATCGGAAGTAAGACAATGTACTAAAGCGCCAAACTACCGAGGTCGTCATAGTTATTAGTTAGAATATCTATTGCGTCACCTTCATTCTCTTCCATACATGCACACCCATCACTCGTATCACTGTACTTGTTAACACAAAAATGCATTTTAATATTCAACAACGCATTCCTTATAAAAATCGCGTGTTAGCTTACACATTCTCGCGGCTTTGAAAAACAACTGAACTAAATAATCTGTAGCAGATCTCACGCGCTTGTATACACTACAGGTAGGGTTGGCAACTCTTGTTCAAGTCTGCCATCTACACAACAGGAGCTAAAATGGGGAGCATTTCGTATTCGGTGCACCTCCCCCATGGTGGACGGAGGTGGGGGAACTGGGAAGAGATCCCCACGTGTTAAGGAGGGCCCGCTTGCGAGCAACCGCTGCTGGGGTCGCGGTCGACTGTGAACTCGTTTCCGCGACCCCGGCGCTATGGCGGCGAGAATACCGTGGAGTTTTTGTTGATTAGGAGTCTCACAGTCCATACCATCAGATGGACCGTAGGTTAGTTTGCCACCTTCTTAGTATAAAAAATAAAAAGACAGAATACATAAATGCCTATCCTGAATTGAAAAGATTGACAAGCTGATCATGTTCTTTCCAATTCTGTCTCTAATGCATTATGTGAGACCGTCAGCCGACAAATATTAGATGATCGCGGACAAATTAAATATGAATATAAAAATTCATCAATTATTTATTTTAATTACAAAACTCCAAAAGTGTAAACTAAAAAAAAGTGCTCAATATATCAAACTCGACCAGAGGTAGCCCACGCGCCACTCGGTGGAACAATATTAAGAAGCAGATGGACCAGGATAACCTTACTACTCAGATGACTCAGAACAGAGTTCTTTGGCGCAGATGTAGGGTGTGTAGGGTGACCCCGACCCCAGAGCTGGGATCACGGGTTGGACAGAGAGAGAGATTTTCTTTCAATAATCAATCCTTGATAAAATTCTTAAAAATGAAATTCCGGATTGGTCTTTTCAAGAGGTGGCAACCCTACACATCTACTTACACGTAGCAATTATATCAAAATATTTATAAATGAGCGAACACACTGGTAACAATGTGTAAAATCAAGTTTACAAGTGTATTTATATATTTTTTGCGGACTACTCTAATGCTGTTGGCCGCAGCTGGCCTTTACAGCTTCACAGGACGATAGGAGGCGAGTGCAGATGGCACTTCAACCAAAGACTTATGGAGCGGCTGAAGGCCAACACCGTATACACCCAGAAACTAAAACACCACCCTGATCATCTGAATGAATGGCCGTCCTCCATAGTGCGGTTTTCTAGAAACTTTTGCTACGCACAACCAATTTGTGCAATCATTTTTGAGCAATGTTATTTCCGAACCGATACGACATTGAAATCTACAAGAAAAGAGCTTATTCTTTCTTAAGGCCAGCAACATACAATTCTTCTGGTGTTGCTCATGGGCGACGGTAATCACTTACCATCAAGTGAACTGCAACCTCGTTTGTCCTCTGTGTTATAAAAAGAAAAACTGCCTGACGGATACAACTTTAGTCTGAGGAAAATGCTAGAAGTTCGAACCTCGGCTCAGGCCGTCGTGACATTAGTTCGGCCGTTGTAATTTCGATCTCCGTTTGACG